TGGAGCAGAGGAAGTGTCAGAAGACCACATCCACAGGACATGATCCTGCCTTTGAAGAGTTTAAGTTAGCCTGGGTGACTCCATTTTGAAAGAAGGAGCCATCTTGACCAGGAGCTGAACTCAGGTACTAGGAAATATCACAGAATGTGCACCTGGCAGAAAACAAAGTTAGCTCTCCAAGCAACGGCCTCCAGGAAAACTCACAGAATAAATGTTTAGTAAAAAATAGAGACAATCTCCCTGGCAATTGTGAATATGTAAATGGTCACCTTTCCCCTATGGCTTTTACCCAATTCTGTAATGTCAAAGCATGCACCCCTCCTGCTTTCTGTCATGGAAACATGAACTCCCCTCACTTGCTGTCATGGAAACCCCCTGCTCACAGACTTTTCCTTTAAAAACCCTGCTCACTCAGAGCTCAGGGTCCCACTTCTCTACTGCTACGTCAGTGAGACTTGGGTCCCAAGTTCAATTGCTCTCGTAATAAAGCTCTCTTGCTCTTGCATCGAGTCATCTCCTGGTGGTCTATGAGGATCCCATGATCCTGGCATTACATCTTCACTTCAGTACCCATGACCCTCAGGAGGTCCATCTGAAGAAGCCACAGCTATGGCCACGCAGAGGCCACTTCTGCTATTTCCAACAGTCTCTCTCTGGGATAAATGCCTTGGAAGCTGACCAAAATGACACTAGCCAATCTGATTCCCACGTAGTCCAAAGCCCACAACACACAGACCCGGTGCTGTCCTGCAGACCCAGGTAACCTGAGTGCCAGACCTCCTGGTAAGGGCTGAAGATGAAGTGTAGTTGGTGAAGCACTTGCATAGAATGACGAAAACAGGTGCAAACACCTGCTTAAAAAATGATAAAGGAGGGTCTGGAGAGATGGCTCAGCAGCTGAGAGCGCTGGCTGCTCCTCCAGAGGTCCTGAGTCCATTTCCCAGCAACCACACGGTGGCTCACAACCACCTGTAACGGGATCTGATGCCCTCTTCTGTTGGTCACGAAGACAGAGCACTCATGTACATAAAATACACAAACAATGAATCTTTAAAAAATGCTGCTTAGCCAGGTGGCACACACCTGTAACCCCAGACCTCGGAGAGGCAGAGGCAGGCAAATCTCTGTGAGTTCAAGGCCAGCCTGATCTACAAAGAGAGTCCAGGACAGCCAGCTCTACACAGAGAAACCCTGTCTGGAAAACAAAACAAAACAAACAAACAAACAAACAAGACAAAAAACCATGCTTGCATACCTTCAGGATATTGGCTTCAACAACAACAGAGCATGCCCCTAATGGCACAGGTAAGAAAAAGAAAATTGCTGAATGTAATTATTTTAAACCGAAAGGACTTAACCAACAGAGCGAAGAGACAGCATACAGCGTGAGAGGAAGATCTTCTCAGACTATGTATCTAACAGGGGGTTACTTCCATATTAGATGAGCAAGAATTCAACTCCAAGAGTCCAACAGCAATCACAATCAAGTTGAAAATGAAGAAATGAGGGGCCTCGGAGATGGCTGAGCCAGCAAAATACCCGCTGTGTAAGCATAACCATGAAGAACCTGAGCGTGTGAGCCCAGCAACCGTAAAGAGTCAGGAGTGATGGTGCATCCCAGCAGCCCAGCGCGGGAGCTGGGCAGGAGGGGCAGGAGATTCTGGAAGCCCCTTGACCACCCAACCCTGCTTCAGTTTCAGTGAGAGACCCTTTCTCGAAAAATAAAGGTGGGAGTCGGGCATGGTGACACGTGCCTTCAGGGGCAGAGGCTGGCAGAGCTCTATGAGTTCTAGGCCAGCCTGGTCTACACAGAGAGTCACAAATCAGCCAGAGCTAAATAGTGAGACCCTGAGTCAAAATAAAATAAAATAAAAATAAAGTCAGACAACAATTTAAGAGTGACACCTGGCCTCTCGACCTCAGGCCTCCACACGCATGCCTACCCACCTGCAGGTGTACATACATGCAGACGTGCTCACACCCACACACACATGAGCAGACGAAGTGAGCAGACAGTTCCCAAAGGTGATTCAAATGCTCAATAAATACATGGACAAATGCTCAGTTTCAGCAGTTGTCAGGGAGACGGGTGCAGATCAGATTCACAAAGAGCCATTATCACACCCCAACCAGAACTGCTATCACCAAAAAAGACAAACTATAACAACCGTTGATGCATGTCGGACAGAGGACCTCTCACCCTGTGGATCAGAATGTAAACCAGATGTTGTGAGAAACAGTGTGGAAGTTCCTCAGAAAACTAGCACAGAACTGCCACATAATTCAGCAACCCCGCTCCAGGGAGATAGCCTGTGCTGGTTAGGTTTTTGTCAGTTGACACCATCTGGGAGCGTACAGCAGGACAGAGCATCAGTTGGGAAAATGCCTCCATCAGGTTGGCACGTAGGCACGTCTGGGGGACCTTTTCCAGTCCACTGCGAGTGGTGTCACCCCTGGTAGTATGAGAAAGCAAGCTGGCCAGGCGGGACTTCCAGTGAATGGAGGACACACACACACAAACACACAAAACCTTCAACTGGAGGTTTTCCCTGCCCACAGGATGTGCAGGGATAAAGATGGAGCAGAGAACGGGGAAATAGCCAGCCAATGACTGGCCCAACCTGAGACCCATCCCATAGCAGAAAGCCAACCCCTGGCACTATGAATGTTACCCTGATATGCTTGCAGACGGGAGGCTGACTGACTGTCCTCTGAGAGGCTCCACCCAGCAGTGGAACTAAACAGATGCTAAGAACCACAGCAGGACATTGGGTGGAGCTAGGGGAGTCTTGTGGAGGAGTGTGGGAAAGGATAGAAGGTCCTAAAAGATCCAGGAGGGGACAAGAACCCCCCAAAGAAGACAAACAGTTAGGGGATTACAGAGACTGAGGCACCAACCAAACAGCTTGTATGGACTGGACCAAAGCCCATGACACACGCAGATGTGCTGATGGGCAGCTTGGTCTTCATGTGGATCCCCTAACAACAGTAGATGGACTCGGTTGCCTGCTTTTGGATCACACTCCCCTAGTTGGGCTGCCTTGTCTAGCCTCTATAGAAGAGGATGTACTAAAGCCTGGTACAATTCGATGGGCTGGGGTGGGCTTGTAAGGGGGCTGTTTTCCCTTTTCTGAGGAGAAGAGGGGAGGGGTGTGAGGATGGGACTGGGAGGAGAGGAGGGAAGGGGCTCTGATTGGGATGTAAAATGGATAAATTAATAAATTTATTTAAAAAGAATTATAACTAATTTTCAGAGCAATAAAACTACTTTAGCAAGTCAGGAAGAAAGAAACAAAGAAAGAAAGAAGAAAGAAAGCAGGCTGAACAAGCCATGGGTAGCAAGCCAGTAAGCAACACTCCTCCATGACCCTGCTTCAGTTCCTGCCTCCAGGTTTCTGTCCTGCTTGAGCTCCTGCTCTGGTTTCCCTCAATGGCGGACTGTGCTGGACATGTAAGCCAAGTAAACCTTTTCCTCTCCAAGTTGTTCTTGGTCACTGTCTGTATCACAGGAATAGAACGCACTCAGCTCAGAGAAAGGAATGAGTATGTTGAAGAGACACCTTCCCGTGTGTTTACTGCAGCAGGATTCAAACAGCCATGGCACAGAGTCAGCCTGGATGTAGATGGATAGATGATAAAATTTGATACATAAATGCAATGGAGTATCATTGTAAAAGGGTGGAATTTCCTCATTTGCAGCCCACGCATGAATTAGAGGAAGTGAAATAAATCAGACACAGAAAGATGCTACCATACATTTTTATTGACAGTGGAGGCTAAAATGTTATTCTCTGTGGCTGGGGAGATGCAGAGATGGACGGCCTGTAAAAAAGTGTTTGCTGCATAAGCAGAAAGACGAGTTTGGATGCTCAGAACACACAGAAAAAGCCAGGTGAGATGAGAGGTGTCTGTAACCCCAGAGAAGGAAGGACCCCCCCCCCCGAGATCACTGGCCAGATAGACCTAATCATAGGGTCAGTGGGAGATAAACAAGGGACAGAATGATGGAGAAAGGTACCCAGTGCTTCCACGTATGCGCGTGCTACCACAGACACAGACACAGACACACACACGCAATTTACTCAGCTGTGCACCATGAAGATGCATTTTTTTTTTCAAAAGAACAAACATTAACCTCAAAGAAGTAGTAAACAGAATAGCAGTTATCATCTTGGGAAGGGTGTGAGGGAAGAAAAGATAGAGGGAGCATGGTTAGGATGTCGGGGTGTCATTCGGTGAGAATGTCAGCTTCCAGTGTTGGATAGCCCAGTTGAGAAATACAATTGACAACTGAATATTTCAAAATACCCCATAGAGAAGATTTCAAATGCTTCCAGTCCAAAGAAACGACAAACACTTTTGATGGAAGTCCAGCTACCATGATCCGATTATTCTACCCTGTAATACACATACACATTGTATGCCACATTGTACCCTATCATTTTTTTGTTTTTGTTTTTGAGACAGGGTCTCTCTATGTAGACCAGGCTGGCCTTGAACTCACAGAGATCCACCTACCTCTGCTTTCTGACTGCTGGCATTATAGGCACCCAGCCCCTATAAAGATATTTAATTACCGTGTCAATTGAAAATAACTGGACATGGAGGCAACATGCTGAAAATCCCACCACTCAGGGGTTGGAGTCCAGAGGATCATACGGTCAGGGTCAGCCTAGGCTGCTTGAGATCCTATTTCAAAGTGCCAAATACAAAACTAAACATGAGTTTTTAAAAAGAGTTAGTTTACCCATTCACTCATCGGTTTTTTTGGAGCAGCCCGGGATGAGAAACATGCTCTGCAAGGATTTTACAATTTTGTTTTGGTTTTGGTTTTTCTGCAGAACACATGGGATCCATCATATGCCAAAAACTTGCCTTCTATTTTGGGAGGAAGCAGCTGGTGAATGAGTCAGCCCTGCCAGTTTTCCCTAACCCAGGGCGGACCATCTGTGTCCACCTCACCACTGACACCGACATGTTTAAAAGCCCCTGCTACTTACCTAGGAGGTGGAGGAAGAGGAGGAGCAGAGCAGGGAGGAACCACATGGTCCTGTCCCCTCTCCTGCCCTTGGTGGTGACAGATGCCAACGCCCTGCAAGAAGTTGAAGGCCAGCCTGAATTTTCTTTAGGTCTCTCTCACTTCCTTCACAATGTCTCAGCTTTGCATTCTGGAAGAAAGAGGATGTCAGTCTTTGAGAAGACCAAGTCACCTCATTTGGGTACAGCCCAGGAAACAGGGAACTTCCTCTGCTGAAATGAGGCAATGCTAGACCTGAACTTAAAAGAGGGGTGGGAATCACAAGGGGAAGTGCAGATGGACACAAAAGACGGAATACAGCAAACCCCTCACTCACTTTGGGTGATGAGTGAGTTGCAGGGGATCACGGGAAAGAAGAGCAACCAAAGGCACAGTGGCTGCAGTAGCCAAGGAGCACAAGGCAGCCCAGGCTAACCCAGGGCACAGAGAGGTATTGCTGAAGGCTCAGCCTGGGAAAGCACTGCTATGGGCCTCAGAGCAGGGACTTCCCTGGCCAGGGACTCCTACAGCAATGGCTAATAGGGCCACAGGGATTGTCTCAGAGAAAGAGGGAGAGTGTGGGTTTAAGGCAAGGTCTTGTGTAGCTCAAGCTGGCCTTGAACTTTTGATCCTCTTTCCTCCACCACTAAAATGATGGAACTACAGGCATTACCACCACGGTCTTTATGAGGGGCTGGACACTGAAACCAAGGTTTCATGAATGCTAGGCAAACATGCTACCCACTGAGATGAAACCACGATCCCTTGTTTTGTTTTGCTTTTTTTTTTTAAGACAATTGTGTGTATGTGTGTGTGTCACCCAAGATGGCTTCAAACTCTCTCCCTCCAGTGTCAGCCTCCCAAGTTGTGGGAACCTGCGGTTGATTTAAATCCAGAGGACCAATTGTAAGTGTAGATATCCATAAATACAGTGTATCTCTGGTATCAACTTTTCATGGGAGGAAGCTTTTAAACACACACACACACACACACACACACACACACACACACACACGGAATGCTTATGATAGTCAATCTTCATTGTCAACTTGACTGGATTTGAAATTGCCTTGGAGACTCACATGTAGGCATGTTTGTGAGGATGTGCACAGAGAAGTTTGAAAGAGGAGAGATGACCAGCCCTAAAGGTAGCCAGGTCTAACCTCCAGGCTGAGGTCTAGAAGATGCTTACTGAAGGACAGATTAGGAACCACACTGCCATCTACTGGCTGAAGCCATTCTAGAACACCCAGACTTAAGGGAAGGCCATTGATCCAGATGAGTAAATCAGAGTTTTAAAGAATTTGCTGCCAGGACATTAAACTGCTACAGAAAAGGGTCTTAATCTGGGACCATCTCATTGCTTCTTATAAGAACAAGACCTTGATGTGTGACACCACCTGGGCCTCAGTCACAGGGCAGGCAGAAGAGGACCTGTCCTGCTGCCTGGTCCCCACCCCTTCCCTGCAGCCCATCTGTGCACCTTAGAAGGTCAGTCCCCACGCCTGCTGGGAGTGCCATATGGCCCTACGTGTGTATTCGCAGCTCTGATGTTTCCATCCTTCAGTCAGAGGTCCAGACTGACACCTGAGATCCTGCATGGGCTAACAGACATGCTCTGCTTTGCTCACAATATTTTTTTTTCCTGTCTCCTGCAGTCCTCCAGCTGCTCACAATATTTTTAAGGGAAATTTGTTGTCTGTGTAAGGTTCACAGCGGATGCTCTGTCTTTGGCTCAGAACTCATCTTTTTGTGGCTTCATTTCTTCCTGGGCTTTAGATAGCGGTACACATCTTCCATTCAGATGTGCTTAGATGGTTTTTTGACAAAAGACAAAAACAACAGTGGAAAGATGGTAAGCTTAACAAACACTGTTGAAATAATTAGATGTCCCCATACTAGAAAATTAAAATGCCTAAAATTTCCCTCCTCTCTACCAAACAAAGTAAGTCATGACTCATGAGTGCAAGGCTCAGGCCTGTTGGCTACCAGCCTGGTCAAAAAGCAGCGACCTCCAGTTCAGAGACAGACCCTGCCTCAAGGGATTAAGGTATAGAGTGATAGAACAGGAGAGCTCACACCTGCCTATGGTGTCTGCATGTTCATGCACACACACATACACACACACACACACACACACAGAGTAAATAAATAGTTACGTTAGAGCTTTTTAAAAGTTGGAAAAATACAACTAATGGTTTAATATCCATTACACCAAAATCATAACCTTTAAAGAAAATTTGGTGAGTTGTATGTCATCAAAGTTTAAAATGTTCAGGCCAGGGATATGGCTCATGGGTAAATTGTTATGTAACCATGAGGGTCAGAGTTCAGGGTCCCAGCACCTACATAACACCCGGGTGCAAAGCACACATCTGTACCCTCAGCGCTGAGGATGGGGGAAGCAGGGACAGGGGACTCCTGGGGGGATCTAGACGATCAAGCTCAAACGGCAAACTCCAGACTCTGTGAGAATAATAAGTTGCGAAGTAATATAGGAAAACAGTAGTGTCAGCTCTATTGTCCACATGTGTGCACAGGCAGGCACACCCACGCATTACACAGGCACACAAACACACAAAGCCTAGGCTTTGTCTGCAGCAAACTATCCTATAAGGAGGATGAAAACACAAGCCAGAGACCAAGACAAAATATGGACAAACACTTCTGTGTACTGCCTACGAAGAACTCTCAGAAGAAAAGCAATAGAAACATTAATTTATTTAGCCTACGCGTGGCAGTGCCTGCAGTACACAGCTCGGGTGGCCGAAGCACCAGTATCTGAGGATGGCTCAGCGGGTAAAAACACCTGCTGCCAAGTCTGAAGACAGTTCAAATCCCAGGACCCACTCGGAAGAAGAAGAGAACCACCTCCCGTAAGTCGTCCGTCGTCCTCTGACCGCCAGGCTTGCACCGCGACACACGTGTGTGCACCTACACACTAAGTTAAAAAAAAAAGTTAACAAAAATCCAAAAATGGCTCCAGTTCAAAAATAAATAAGAGGCATGAAATATACATCATCAAATGTGATGTGTGGGTGGAAATGAAACATGCCGAAAGTATTTTCAGTAGCATCAGTCACTTGGGAAACTGAAAACCATGTGCCTGTTAGAACACCTGGAATGAAAAATAACGAGGGCAGGAGAGATGGCTCGGTAGCTAAGAGTGCTGGCTGCTCTTGCCAAGGGTCCAGATTTGGTTGCCAACACCCACATGGAGGTTCCCAACCATCCACAACTCCAGCTCCAGGGAATCTAATGCGCCCTCCGAGGCACCAGGCATGCATGCGTGTGGCACAAAGACACATATGCAGGCAAATCGCTCATAGGCATAAAATAAGTGCAAATTCTGTTAAAGAAATAATGATAACAGTGAGGAAAAGTGGGTGTTTCGTCCCTTGCTGCTGGAAAAATAAGAAAACAATGTGGAAAGAGTTGGGTTGTTTCTTAGAGAACTGAACATACAGTCACTATGAAACTTAGTAGCTGTACAAGCATACATCCTGGGAAATAAGAATGCATAGTCATATTAAAATTTTGTGTAAAGTGGATAACGGTTTTACTTGTAATGGAAAGGATCCAAATACTGCAGTGAACAGGTAGTTAAACAAACTGTAGTGAATTTATACACTAGAACAATTATCTGTAATAAAGAGGAATGAATGATTTCCAAGTATGATGTCTGCTTGTATGGATTCCAGAGACACTGTGCTTAACAAGGGAGGAAAAGAGGATCTCAGATATGACACTGAAATGCTTCCATCTCTAGACCATTCTCAAAGTGATGAAGCCAGAGTTGGAGGCAGATTACTGGTCTCTGGCGGGAAGTAATGGGGTGGACTGCCATGAAGGAGGTTTTGTGGTGGTGGAGCCTTTCTCTATGCCGATTGTGATGGTCATTGCATGGATGAGTGTGGGACAACGCCACGTATTTAAACACGCATGTTAAGTGAACGCATGTGAAAACTGCTGAGAACTGAGTAACGGCTGTTGTGCAGTTTGCAATGTTGTGCTTGTCATCACTTCCCACCTGGAAGAGAGTCGTGGTTTGGGGGGCTAAAGAGCCATTTCAGTCTTTGTCCTTGGTCCTGAATGTCTACTTCCGTAGCCCCACCTCACCTTCGGAGCTCTGTCCTTGTTCCTGAGCGCTGCTGGTACTCTCACCTACCTATGAGAGCCAGTCAATTTCCCTGTTTCACTTCTCTCAACGTTCTGCGAGCCCACACCTCTAGACTCCTAGTACCTGCTCTGTCTGGTAATGCAATCACACCAGAAAACTAGGCTCCGCATCATCCAAGCCTACCCCTCTCTTTCCCACACCCACCAGCAACACCCTGTCATTCCCATCTCACAGGCTTAGACCTTCCATTCCCTGACTCTTTCTTGAAGATGATTTGTAACTGGCTGGGTAAAATCTTCTAGCTTACATCCAGTATCTTGGTGTGCTCAAGTCTATCCAGTGTTCAAAAGGAAAACATAAGCAAGAGCTGATGCTGAACCCACACACTCCGTCTGAACTATTAGAAGAAAAACTTTGCTATGCTGGACTGACAGACATGCCTCACCCTGGTAAACTATGCTGGTGGGGGGCTCTGCCAGTGGATGGAGCTTCCACGGACAACTGTCATTGCGATAGATATTCCCAGAGTCTTTACATTCAGTTATGTTGCCCCTATAAATATGCCCTCTCTCAGGAGACAGGCACCACTAGGTCAAGGCAGGCTTGAAGCTGAGGGAGGAGAAAGAAGTGTGATCTGACTGCCTGGATGAATGGAGACCGTGATGAGTCCTCCCTGCAAAGAACCGTGGTGTGGAAATCGGCACATGTTCAACAAATCAGCCTTTTTCTGAGCTGAGGACGCCCAGTGGACGTGCAAATCTGACATCTCCTCACCTGCCCTGCACCCATCTTTGAATATCTGTCTTTCCCTGGGTTATCTCAGCCAGTTTCTAAAGTGAACAAAGAAGAACCCCCAGTTAACACTATGCATTGACTGATATTAGGGCACCCACCACCTCTTGCTCCACTGCTGCCCTGAAGAACCACAGAACTTCACTTTCAAGCCGATGGGCTATTTTCAGCCCACGTAAGCATGTGCTGAACTCTGATACATGCTTTCCGGTCACTGGGGATGTGAGGGGGCTGCAAGATCATGGTGAGCTAAAAGGATCAGTTGAGGTCAAAGAATACTGTGTGTTTGGGACAGTGGACAGTAAGAATGCCCTTCCAGAAGCCAAATCCTCTGGGATTGTTCTAGAAGAGGGGGCATGGCATGTGAGCCAGGTCTGTGAGGGACATGTCCCTCAGGGACCTCTTCTCTGTAGGAAGAAGGTGATTGTTGTCATTGATGATGGCAATGACCTGAGATGTTTTTATGTCATGAAGAAGATCAAGAGGCTAAACTTGTGTTCAAGAAACCTCTAGAGGACTCTTAGCCTTTCCAGCTGACATGAGAGCAGAATCCAAGAATTCTGGAGGAGGGAAGGCATATCTCCAACATAGGGCCCAGGAGAGCCTTGTTCCTCCTTGGTGGGGGGGGGGTTTGATACAGAGTCTCGTTATGTAGCCCGGGCTGGGCTGTCCAGGGACTCACTGTGTAGACCAGGCTGGCCTCAGGCTCCCAGAGCTTCACCTGCCTCTGCCTTTCTGGTGCTGAGATTAATGGCACCATTTTTCCTGGCCTTGTTCCCTCTACTATGCTGAGGACTCCACAGGAGTCTGGTATCCAACACTCAGATAATCAAGGTCCTCCTTTGAGACATGGAAAGTGAAGTTCAGGATCCAGGCACTGCTGCCTCCAGGCAGAGTCAATCCAGAGTCCAGTATCTCTCTCATCCAGTCTGCAGCGTTGAGTTCCAGGGTGCTTCACTTCACAGCTCTTGGGCAGATCACTCTTCATAACTCCCAGAAATCTCCTGAAGCCTGTTCACCCAGAAGACAGCACAGAGCATGCTCAGAAGCAGGGGAAGCTTCAGGAAGACCAGGACCTGGAAGTGGATGCTGCTGAGCAGGGACCTGTGGACATGCAAGGATGGAAAACAAGTTTAAGGGGAGGGTGTAGGACCCATCTGTCTTTTCCACATTTCCTAAAGCTGTGCCTCAAACACCCAAATGTTCCAATCTTGGAACGACTCAGGGATGTCCTCCCCTGTGGTCCTACCACCCTTCCTCCCCAGCCTCTTGATAAGGAGAGGTGATGGGTGAAGAGAGGAAAGGGCTCTAGGTAGACCCGGTTTTCTAGAAGCACCCCAGAACTTCCTACAGTTTTCCTCTTATTCACTGACTTTCTTGGTGGTGAGGCATATCTCACATGACACAGGCTACTTTCATGGTGTAGCTACAGCTTTGAACTTCTATTTCTTTTGCTGTCAATCCCCTAGTGTTGGTAATGAGATATGGACCACAGCACCCAATCTGGGGATCAAGCATCTTAGGCAGCACTCTAGCAACTAAGCTGCATGCCCAGCCTTCACCTGACTTCTTGAGACTGCTTCTCCTGAGTTTCCCTTGGGGCCTAGAGACATCAAGGGCCTCTCTGAGTATCTCTGGGAGAGAGGGAAGAAAAAAAATGTCAGCTTCAGTCTGGGGCTGAGCCTGTTCCTCCTGAATGGCATGAGAACCTCCTAGGAGCAAGAACCCCAGCTGAACAGAGACCTTTACACTAGTTATTAATTGTGGGGCTCAGAGCCTGAACCAAGGTCATTAGACTTGGAGGCAAGCACCTTCCCCACTGAGTCACCTCCCTGGCCTTCAGCTCTTTTTGAAAGAGACAGAAAGCTAGGACTCCACGTCTAGAGTCCTGCCAGGAAGGACAGAGAAGAGAGGTGGGAATGGGAAGGGTCTGTGAATCTGCCAAACACAGACTCTGCCCCAAGCCTGTGTCCCCCGAGGACCTCCCTCTCCCGCTCATACTTGCATCCTGTACGTGGAGACTGGGAGGATGTGAAAACTGAGATCGGAGGAGGAGGAATATCACCCAACAGTAAGGTTTCTTCAGCACGGGGTGACACTGCCAACCCCAGAATCCTACAGCTGCCGACTGTCTCCAGGAATTGGGTCCTTACCATAGTTGGAAGACGAACACATCACTGGTGCTAATCCTCAGGTTCTTTTCAATATTCACTAGTGGGAGGGTGGGGGTTGTGGCTGGAACTGTGGTCTCCATGGGAGTTGTGGCTACCGGAGATAAAGATACACACCAGGTCACTGTTTGGTTCCAAGCCTGCACTGAGTATCTGTGTGAATCTGATGTCACACAGAATCACATGTTCACAGGGTGTTTCCAGAAGTGCTTTAAGCCAACCCCAGCCGCATCCTGGGTGTGCCTCTCAGGGGCTGAAGGAGCCTTCCTGCCAAAAGCCTGGAAGTACGTGTCATCTGAGACTTTCTTCCCATCCCTGTCTGAGTCTGTCTGAGGGAGGGAAGAGAGGTCTTCCGGGGGTCCCCCAATGCCTGGTGAGAAGCCCAGGAGAGAGACTGTAAAGTACCACAGCTGAGCCTGTGGCCAAGGATCCTCCCAGGGACCATGGAGGGTTCCCAAGCATCCTTCGGATGAGAACAACTAAAGACCACTTTAACCTGCCACTAAGGAGGAGGAAGATTGTTTCTCAGCTTCTCTTGGTGACATCAGGTGTCTGATCATTTGTGTGACCTATACCTCACACCCACCCCACTGCTGCCCACCATGGCTGAAAGGTCAGCCATCTCTCTCCATGCCCATACCACACCCTCCTCATCCCAACTGAGATGAGCACAGTACCCAGGCACGCTTCAAAATAATGCCCACACGTGTCCCAAGTACAGACAGATACTTCCTAAAAGCTCGGTGGCTGGAGCCAGAGTAATCTTACCTGGGAAAACATGGACCTTTACAAGGACTGATGGGTCACGTGACCACAAATCCCAGATAAAGTAAGTCTGAATCTTGCACCAGTAAGATCCAGCATCATCTTCGCTGAGGTTCTCCATGGTCACTGTCATGGTGAAATTCTCAGCATGGTCTCTGATGGACACTCGGCCATCCTTCTTTTCTTTCTCATTTCCATTGAGTTCTATGAGAGTTTTACATGTTGTGTCATACTGTCCTTGGCACCAGTATTTGCTATGGTCCTTATATGATTGTCCATATTGACACTGCACATGAAGAGAGCCTCCTTCATAGCCGGACACAGAGCCAGGACCAGTCAGAGATAAACAGCCTGGAAGACATAAGACTGAGTCTAGGTCTCCTTTGTGATGGGCTGGAAAGCAGCTGCTTTCTTGAAGAAAGGAGAGATCCATGAAGAGGACCAGGAGGGACATTTGTACTTGGGACCCAAGCTAAATAGACTGGAGCTAAATGGACCCAAGCTAAATGGACAAGTAGAAATCTGTCCCCTGTGGAGAGTAGGCACACATGGACCATTGCAGCTGGTTAAGTGAAGCCAAGGCTGGCTTAAGGTTAGGTTGTATGTAAGTCACTTCCCTTACACTCAAGCCTCTGCATTCTGGAGAGCAAGATAAACTTGCTCTTTAAAAATTCAACTACTGGATTGAATGTGGCGGAGCTGTCCTAGCACTTGGAAGGCTGAGAAAAGAGAATTTTGAGTTTGAGTTTAGGGTCAGCCTCATCTAATGTGGGGCTTGAGCTAAGCTGAGCTACAAAGCAGATGCTGTCTCAAAGCAAACAAAACCACGATTTACTCCACTATTGCTATCTGGCTGTGTGCTCCGCTGCAAGTTACTTCATACCATGTGAAATACTTTTTCAGATTGTGGCCTGCCATAAAGGACTCTTTTTTTTTAAAGGGAGTTTTACATTTTATTTTATGTATGTGACTTGCATGCTCATAGAGGTCAGAAGAGGACCCCTGGAACTACAGTTACAGATGGCCGCAACTACAATCACAGATGGTTTCATGCGGGTTCTGGGAACCAAATCTGGGGCCTCTGTGCCCTTAACCACTGAGTCATCTTTTCAGTCCAGGGACTGCACTTGGCAAGTAGCTTTTGACTCAGTTTGGAGGATGACGGATAGATGCAAACGCCTGGATGGACACACCAGCATCCAGCACCGCCCACGGGGCTTGGACTGATAGCTGACTCATTCCTGGCAGGAGAAAGGGGCTACCCTATAGATTTATTGAGGTAAACTGAAACCATAGGGGTTCATGGGCAGTATAGAAAGAGAATGAAATTATGGGGACATGAGAAGGGAGTGGAGCCCCCTTGTCCTAGAGTCTGGAGCCTCTCACTAGCAGATGGGAACATTCCAGGACAATCAGTGTTTGCTGTAAAGACTGCTGTCATAGTGTTGGTCTTTGTTTCATAGATAGATGTTTAATAGTAAAATAGCAATGACCCAGGCTTAAGGCATGAATGTGCACGTCTCTGGGTAAGGCTTCATTCCTTTCCTCAAAACCAATAAAAGAAGAGGAGGAGGAGGAGGAGAAGAAAGGAAGGCAGGAAGGCAGGAAGGCAGGAAGGGAGGAAGGAAGGAAGGAAGGAAGGAAGGAAGGAAGGAAGGAAGGAAAAAAGAAAGATTAAAGAAAGAAAGAGGGGAAAAGAAAGAGGCATCTTTAGGACTGTTAGTTGTCTTAATAAACCTTAGTCCCTTGAACTGGGAACCCAAATAGACCCTTCCTCCCTTAAAGCTGCTTCTTGCCCAGTGTTTTGTTACTGCAGGAAGAAAACTAACACATGGTAGCAGTGAAGGAAGCACCCTGAACTATTTCTTCAGTATACAAGCTTGTCTTGATTCTTGACACTTCCATAATCGGTAGTAAAAGCTCAGTGGAGGAGATGGATCTAGGCCTCATTTTGAGTTCTTTGTTATTTGTAATGGCCTCTTACTGTGTGACTGTAAAATGGAGACTATGTTGCCTTCTCTGCCTAAGTCATAAATGGCTCATAGGCTTAAACGGTATTTACAGTCCCTGTGAGACCAGTTACTCCACATGCTGCTGTGCTGTTCAAAACCACATTTGCTGGACTGGGCATTTCAGATGGACTTGGGGTCATCTCATCTAGAGGGACAGTGAATGCCGGGATGAAGGTGAATCCTGAGCAGCATCTTTTGTGTGGAGTGAGACAATGAGCCAGCTGAGGTCATGGCAGCACTGACTATGGGAGTCTGTGGAGCCAGACTGCTCGACAACCCCACCCAAGTGCCAATCTGAGCATTAGTACCCTGTTCATGCTTCCTTCTCCAGGCTCCTCACTGCCAGGAAACCGGATACCTCCATGCAGCTAGCGGGGCCCCTCAAGCCAGGGCCCGGGAATCTGGTGGACACTGATGTAACCAAACCTAAGACCCCTCCAGAATTTTCAGGAGGGAGCCTGCCTCCCTGCTACACAGTCACAGGACCAGGACAAAAATGCCTTCTGTGGCTTTCTTTGTGAGACAGGGTTGCACTATGAAGCCTAATAAGCCTTGAATTCAAGATCCTCTTGTCCCCACCCCACCTGAGTGCTAGAATTACAGGCACGGGGCATCACACGCAGGGGTTTATATTATTTAATATAATGTCCTCAGGTTCTTTTATGCTTTGATGAATGTCAGGGCTAACTTGAGCACTGCAAAAAAAAAAAAAAAAAAAAAAAAAAAAAAAAAAAAAAAAAAAAAAAAGAACCTACATCAAAATAACATATTGTACCCTGTAAGTGTGCACAATCATCATTTCAGTCAAATAAGGCTCTAACAACACATTACAAGCTTGAAAAGTGTACAGTGAATAGAAGCGCTAGTGTCTCATTAGTTTATTTTCATTTATTGGTGGGAGGGGCATGGTGTTCATAGAAATCAGAGAACATCCTTAGGGAGTCGGTTCTCCTGTTCCACTTTGTGGGTTCTAGGGATCAGGCTCGGATTACCAGGCTTGTGTGGCAAGCACCCTGACCCATGAGCCATCTCTCCAGCCCTAGTTTTGTTTTATTTTATTTTATTGTATTTTTGTCGTTTGTTTTGTGTTGTGTTTCTTTCTCTTTTTTCCTCCTCCTTTTTACTTAGACAAGGTCTCCCTGGTGAGCCAAAGCTGACCTCAATTTCACAATCCCCTTGCGTCAGTCCTTTGAGTGCGGGGACTATGGTGGGTGCCACCCTGACTGGCTATCTCTGTTCGTTTTATATCAGAAACCACTTTCTTTCTCTTTGCCCTTCCTCCGCTTGCTCTGGAATTGTTCTTTCCATCTTTCTTTTCCTTTCTCGTTCCTCATTCTCAAGCTCACCATATAACCCCTTGTGGGTCGCCTCTATAAGTATAAAATGACTGTCTTTTCCCTTAGATGGATGCAGTGGGGGCGGGGAATGCTGTGGAAGAGAGGAGGGCGGCACTCTAGCGCTGATGTGCAGAAGGAGAAGTGCGCTTTCTGTCAGGACAAATTACTTCAAAGTTTAAATCTGGGTGTGAGCGCTCTGCCTGGTGCAAACACAGCCTTGGTGGAGAAGTGAATGAGTAGGATGGGGAGCCAGCTCCTGAAGGACGGGTAAGAAGAGGTTTTCCTCTTCAGTTTAACTGCACTGAAGTCCAGCATTTGGACAACCCTGTCAGATGTAAACAAACTGATTCAAAGGAAGCAGTTACGTGCTGGGAGTGGTCCTGCTTTGCGGTGTTTGCTGATTACTGTGGTATCAATATTCTCATGATATCTGATGTGAAGATTTCGTTTGCTGTAGAGAAGAGAAAGTCCATAGCTAACTCCTGTGAGCTTGGACAATGCAGCTCCATTGTTTCTGGAATCTACTTCAGTAATTACAAAATTTTCACCACATTCCCCAGATTGTCTGAAGATTATATCATCATCATCATCATCATCATCATCATCATCATCATCATCATCACCTTCAGTCAAGGCAGCTTAAGCCCTCAATAAGTGTAATATAATGCACCTAATTGTCTGCCTTACCCTAAAGATATAAATTTTGTTTTGCTTTGGTTTGTTTCTTGTTTTTATTTTTGTTTTGAACCAGGCTCTCATACAGCCAAAGCTGACCGTGAACTAGCTATGAGGCTGGAGGATGCCCTTAGCTTCTGTTCCTGCCTTTGTCTCCCGAGGGCTGAGGTTACAGGTGTGTAGCACAACACCTGCTGAAAGACCTGGATTATGAAGGTGATGAGGGATCTTGCTCATCCAGTCTCTTCTTACTCTACTGTTTTGGGGGCCATCAAGATGGCTCAGTAGGCCCTTGGTGTGCAAACCTGACTACCATAGTTAGGTCCCTAGAATTCCCATGAAGGTGGAACAAGAGAACTGACTCTGCAAAATTGGCCTCTGACCCACATTTTCACCCACACCCTTACACACCGTGCACACACATTAAAACAAACAAACAAACAAACAAAAAAGCTATGTGTCACTCAACTGGCCTCCTTTTTTGAAATCATAGTCACCATTGAAGAAAGAATGCAGGTAAACACAGGATATTTTCTGTGTTCTGTGAGGGTCCAACAACAGCAAGAAAGGGGGTGGGGGGAAGGAGGAGTAAAAGAAGAAGAAGAAAGAGGAGGAAGAGAAGGAGAAGAAGGAGGGGAAGAAGAAGGAAAAGGAGGAAGAGGAAGAGGAGGAGGAGACCAAACAAAGATAGGAAATATCCTCTAATTTTCATCCTCAACTATTTCTCACAGGAACATGTTTTCCTCTTTTTGTGTTTGTCTCACTATGTAGACAAGGCTAGTCCTGAGTTCACAAAGATCCACCGGCATCTACCTTCCAAGTACTGGGGCTAAAGGCATGTACCACCATGCTTAGCCAAAGCATCTTTTTAGGATTTTTTTTTTTTTTTTTTTTTTAATGCGAGATCTCACTAGGTAGCTGAGGCAGACCTGTAACTTGCGAACTCCCGGCCTCCGCCTCCAAATGCTGTGCTTGCAGGGGCCCACCATCACACCTGGCTACGCATTATTCCTTACAGACCTTTCTAGCCCCTTTGAACTAAACTTCAGCAAAAGCAAGACCACTGCTGACTTCTGCACTTCCCACAATCTTTAAGATCTCTACCCACCTAGTATAAATCACAGCTCTTCTGTTTCCCTGGCTGCTTCAGCCTTCAAGACTGACTCCCGTGAAGCCTCAACAAAGCTTCCATCCCCCTGAGAGCAAAGCTAGGGGTCTCTGGGGTAGTCCATTTCTATGCCATCCGTGCTGTAACAAATTCCACCCCGCAGTATAACAACTTGACTCCCTCATTCATATAAGGTCCCCTTGCCTGGGGAAGCTACTTTATAGTTACAACATTCACAACAATCCAGGAATGCAGCTGGTGCTTAATAAAGGCTTGTAGGATCCATGGATGAATGCTGGAGTATAGATATAGGTGAAGAGATGGGTGACTGTGTGTCTCGCCACCCCCACTCCCTCCCCCGCCCCCCGTCACCGCTTCTGCTGACACCTCTATTCTGGCTTGAACCCAGGACTCCCACTCTCCAGCCCTCCGCAGAATTGGGCTCATAGATCCACAGCCCCACACACCTTGGAAGCAGAGAAAGAGCAGACCTGGGCACAGCCACATGTTCCTGCCTCTCTCCGTGCTGTCTCCGGAAAGCTCCATGTCGCCACTGGAATCCAGATGTGTGTAACAGAGCCCTGGCGCCTACCTTGTTCAAGTTTTCTCTGTGGTTTTTTTTCCCCCTCATCTACTTCCTTCTCGCTCTGAGCCACTTCCTAATTTAACAAAAGAGGAAGATGAGCAAGAGTCACTTCAGAGAATGAACAAGAGCCAACCCACAGAACGAGCCTGCACTTAATGAGACCATGTTCCTCACAGCCCGAACTGTCAGGAGCGCCAACTGCTATGTACAAAAACTCCAGCCCAGGAAATTCCTTGTTTTTCCTGTTCCTGTCCTGTTTAGTACACTTCCTTGATCTCCGTAGCTTCCCTTGGCTGTGGCTGCTGACATTGGGGTCATGAGTGTCCTCCACTCAAAGAGCAGAGATGAGCACTCTGTGTCTCTTTCAACCATTACCTCTGGGCAGTTGACCTCAGACCTCCTCCTCCAACCCAGTGTCGCAAAATCCCTCCAGACTCAACGTTCTAACTTCCTGTGGGCAATCTCTATCCAGTTACCAACTGCTCGCCTGAGTCAGAATCAGGATCTCCATTCAAAGTGTAGGCTCCAGGGCCATGCCACTCAAATCTGGATTCTATCATTTTATAGTATCATTTGTTCGTCCACTGTGTGTGTGCGCACACGCCGTGGTGCATGTATGCAGGTCGGAGAACTGGTGTGGACCAGTTCTCTCCTTCTAGGTAGGGCTTGAAGATTGAACTCCGGTCATCCATCTTGGCAGCAAGCACTTTTAACCACTGAGTCAGCCCCTGCCCCCACTTCCATCCTAAGCTAACAGTGTGCCCTTGAGCATGTTGTGAAATCATTCTTTTCTCCAGTTTCTTCATCTACGAAGCGGAATAATCATGACAATTCTTTTGTTGTTGCTTTTGCTCATTTACTTATTTTTTTTTTTTGCTGGCAATTTCATGTGTATGTAGTGTATTTTATTCTCACTTGAATTACCTCTCTCAATTCCCTTCTGCTCCCACTAAATCCCCCCCCTCTTTTTTACCCTCAACATGTCCCCCTCCCGTCTTCATGGGGTTTGTTTGTTTGTTTTGTGTTTGGTTCTGTGACCCACTGAGCTCAGTTACAGTTGCCTGCCTGAGCATGGGGTAGGAGGCTCCTGACTGGAGCAAAGACAGCCTCCCTCTGCCAGCAAAAAAAAAAAAAAAAAAAAAAAAAGACAATTCTTTTAAATTCGTTTTTATTTTAACGTGTGTGAGTGTTTGCCTGGACGGCTGTCTGTGTGCTGCACACACGCTTGGTGCCCAAAGAGGCCACGGGATCCACTAGAGCTAGAGTTGTAGAGAGCTGTGAGCCACTGCGTGGGCACCAACAAGGGCAGACGTCAGGTCTCCCCACCGAGGAACTCAAACCAGGAACTGGAGAGATGGCTCAGAAGGGCTGCTCTTCCAGAGGACACAGATTCAGTGCCCAGCGCCCCAGGGCAGCCCATCAGCATCTGTAACTCCAGTTCTAAGGGATTCACCCCCTCTTCTGGCCGCTGTGGGTTCCAGTCATGAACACAGTGCACAAATATACTTGCAGGCAAAACACTCATACACATGAATAAAAACAAACAAACAAACAAACAAATCAGGCCAGTCTCCAGCTCTTTCCATTTGTCTGTGTGTGCGCAGCTGTTTGCTTTTACCTGCCTCCTAATCTGATCTCTAGAGTTGTTTGATGAAATTCTCAAAGAATAAATAAGAAATTGAAAACAAAACCAAGCAGTTTTAAAGCATAAAACTAAAAACAACATGGAAGCTGGTTGTGGTAACACAAGCCTGTAATCTCAGCATTCCCAAGGTGAAGACAGGAGGATTGTTGTAAACCCAAGGAAGTTATATAGCAAGACCCTGCCTCCAAAAAAAACAATAAATAAATAAGAATAAAGAAACTGGGAGTTAGCAAAGGCAACTATGCTTTAAAACATGCAAAATAAATTTAATGCGATGTCATCTCATCGTACCCCAAGTTCCGTGGGCATCAGTAGGTTGGGTCCATAAAAGCCTCTCCCAGAGGCTCCAGATACGGAGATTCTCTACAAATTGCAGACCCGGAGTTTTCATTCTCAGAGTCAGGAAAGGAAAATGTCTGGAGTTGGAACTGTAAAGGAAACAAGGCATCTATGAGGATAAAGTGGAGCCGGAGGGCCAATGGGGAAGTGGCCATGTGCTGTAGCAAGGACGGGGAGGAGAAATCTAAATAGGCAGGATGGGAAAGAAGCCAGCAGCTCTCTTGGGAGAGTCATGGGACACTAGAGTGTCCCAGAAGAACAGACACTGAGGGCCAGGAGATGGCTTAGTGGGTAAAAGTGCTTGCTGCCTGTGGACCTCAGTTCTTGCTCTGTTCTAGGAAATGCCTTCCTTGATAAGAAAGAACAGGAAGTTAAGCGGCCACTTTTGTGGGGCTGTGAAGATGGCTCAGTCCATAGACTGTTTGTCATGAAAAAATGAGTTCGGATCCCCAGCACTGATTAAAAAGCCAAGTGTAAGTCTCACCATCTGCTTTGATAGTCTGCAGGGCAAAGCCTTTCAGAGGTCCTCTGTGGCAGGTTCCTAACTTGTTTCCTGTTTTCTTCTTCTTCTGATGTCCATCCTCTTTGCCTTTTGGGATGGGGATTGAGCATTTTAGTCAGGGTCCTCCCTCTTGATTAGTTTCTTTAGATGTACATATTTTAGTAGGTTTATCCTATGGCCAACTGTTGGGCAGAGTACATGGAATCTTATGAAAGAAGTGGGAAATAGTAAGATCTGGAGAGGACAGGAACTCCACAGGAGAGCAACAGAACCAGAAAATTTGAACACAGGGTTCTTTCCAGAAGCTCATATTCCAACCATGGACTATGCATGGAGATAACCTAGAACTCCTGCACAGATGTAGCCCACGACAGTTTAGTGTCCAAGTGGGTTCCATAGGAATGGGAAGAGGGACTGCCTCTGACATAAACTGATTGGCCTGCTCTTTGATCACCTCCCCCTGAGGATGGAGCAGCCTTACCAGGCCACAGAGGATGACAATGCAGTCACTCCTGATGAGATCTGATAGACTCAGAAGGAAGGAGAGGAGGACCTCCCCTATCACTTGGGGAGGGGCATGTGTGAAGAAGGGGGAGGGAGTGTGAGACTGGGGGAGGAGGGACTTATGGGGGGATACAAAGTGAATAAAGTGTAATTAATAAAAGTTTAAAAAAATTAAAAAAAAAAGCCAAGTGTAGCTGTGTGTGCCAGTAATACTAGCAAAGGGGAGGCAGAGAGGCAGAAGGAACTTGTTTGCAGCTGGTTTAGCAGAATCAGTGAGCTCCAGGTTCAGGGAGAGACCATGCCTCAAAAATAAGGTAGAGAGCCCTTGAGGAAGACAGTGGGCATTGACCTCTGGCCTTCACGTGCTTGAGCACAAACACTCATTTGCATGCACATACACACACATTCACACACACACAGAGCCACTCTTATCAGCTTTGCAAATTTTTCTTCTAATATGGAAAAGCCATAGAGAACGAAAAAGAATGGAGAGAGATTCATAAAGAAAGTGGTCAGGCCAGAACTCAGACTCAAGAGGCAGAGGTGGACAGATATGTATCAGTTCAAGGCCAGCCTGGTCCTCATAGGAAGTTACAAGACAGCTAATACTCCATCTCAAAATAAATAAATAAATAAGCAGGCCACCTAGCAGATGAAAAAGACACACACAGGGTTCAGAGAGATGATTCAGTGGTTCAGAGTACTGGCTCTAGGACCCGAGTTCAGTTCCCATCACTCACAGGCCAGCTCACAGCAGCCAGTAACTCCATTTCCAGGGAATTCTATACCGACTTCTGCCTCTGAGGGCACCAAGCATGCTTGTGGTGCAAAATCATACATTCGGGCAAAATACTCCTCACATAAACTTTATCTTTTTTTTTTTTTTTTTTTTTTTTTTTTAAAAATGCACTTGGAGGGCTGGAGAGATGAGATGGATCAGCAGTGAAGAGCATTTGTCCTATGAGGAGACCCAGGTTCAATCCCCAACACATACATGGTAGCTCACAGTCATCTGTAGCTCTAGCTACAGGAGAACCAACCACCTCTCCTGGCCTCTGTAGGCTACAAGTGTGAAGATGGTGCACATACAAACATACAGGCAGAACAGTCATACACACAAAATAAAATCAATAATGCATCTAAAAAACGTTAAAGAACCTATATGATCTACGTAGATGAGTCTCTACCTAGACGACAGAGAGAAAGAGATCTGCAGATGGATGATTAGGGATAGATGGATAAACGGGCAGGTAGATAGGAAGACGAAAAGGTAGATGTTAGCTAGATGATAGATAGATAGATAGAGAGAGAGAGAGAGGCAATACAGTTAGTCTTTTAATTTTTTTTATTTATTTATTTATTTTATTTATTTATTCACTGAGCATGGTGGCTCAAACCTTTAATTCCAGCTGCAGAGATTGGTGGATCTCTGTAGGTTTGAGGTCAGCCTGGTCTTCACAGTGGGTATCAGGACAGCCGAGGTGACATAGGAAGAGCGTACCTCCTATGTGTGGGTGTTTCGCGTGCAAGCACATCTGTGCGCCGTGAGCGTGCAGGGCCTGTGGAGGTCAGAAGAGGCTGTCAGATCCCTTGGGACTGGAGATAAAGACCACTGTGAGCTACCGTGTGGGTGCTGGGAATTGAACCCCAGTCCTCTGGAAAAGTAGCCAGCGTTTCTAACTACAGATTCATCTCTCCAGCCCCAAATATACAGTATTTTAAACTAGTAAAAGTAAGCACTTGGATCTCAGCACTTGGGAGGCAGAGGCAGGTGGATCTGAGTTCGGGGCCAGCCTGCTCTACAAAGTGAGTTGTAGGACAGCCAGGGCTACACAAAGAAATCCTGTCTTGAAAAACAGCAGCAATAAAAATAAAATAAAAATAAAAATAAAAAGTAAGCACTGGGGACCCCCAGTGTGAGAGGTCGCAGAGAGAGAGATCGTGGTGAGGAGGACAATGGCTGGCTCAGAGA